CAAGTACAATCTAGAACATCCCCTAGATATTGAAACGATGTGACTTTCTCTACCTTAATGGCTTCAAAAACATTGCTATTTCGAATTTGTTGTTGTGGATTGATGCAAGCAGGGCAAACAAAATTGGACACTTTAGATAAAATACCAATTATTTTTGAACAACGTGACACCACTGGTTACACTGCTGACACTTGATTGAATAGTTACCTACACCAGCTTTACAGCTTTAGTAACTGTGGATTGGATCGGTTCACCAGTGTTTATTGCTTTGGTTTTGCTGATGTTGACTTTGAATCCATGATCGGCCAGTCTGGTTTTCCAGTCTTCAAACATCTGTGCTGCATTCTGCTCAGCCGTGGCTTTTAAAACGATATCATCAGCTTTATATTAGATTCCAAAAGTCACCAGTGTGTATTCGGCTTTGTGATTTCTTTCTTCCATCACGGTTATAAATAACAGTGGACTAAGGATCGAACCTTGATGAACTCCAACGCCGATGTCAAATGCAACTGTGTTTCCAACCATTGTGCTGACGAGAGTCTTCGTATTCTTTTACATTTCCATCACAAGTCAAACAAGATATTCTGGAATGAGTTGTCGACGTAGACTCCACCTGATTGCTTCACGGGAAACTCGATCAAGGTTTGCAAAAATGTGTGATAGTTGTTGATGCTTTGCGAGGTACATCTCTTGCAGTTGCCGAATGATAATAATTGTATTAATTGTTGATTTCCCCTCTAGGAAACCAAATTGATAATTTCCAATTGTGATGCACGATGTTAATCTTCTCTCAATGATTTTCTCGACAATTTTCAGGGAGTGTTCTAACAGACGTATACCCCGATGTGATGAACAGTTCAATGGATCACCTTTACCTTTGTATAGCGGAACTGTCATGCTATAGTTCCATTCTGTCGGCATTGAGCAATTTCTCCAAACTCCACGGCAAAGTTGTAGTAACTTTTGGATACCTGCAGTACCAGATGCTTTGATAATGTCATTTGTGAGTCCAGAGGGCCCTGCTGCCTTTTCATCCTTTATTGCTTTCAGAGCTTCTGTAAGCTCCTCCACAGTAATGTCTGGAATCGGATCTTCAATGGATGTAGCGTCAAAGTTGACATTGATGGGAGTTGTTTCATTTAACGACGGTTGAAGTATTCTTTCCACTGTTGCTTGATCTCATCTTGTTCAAGAACCATCTCATTTTTGTCGTTTTTGATACATGAGGCACCAACTATGTCTTTTTTCGTACGCTTTGCTTGTTTTGCTATATGATACAGAGATTTCATTTGTTCACCTTTGCTTTTGGTGAGCCATTCTCCAATGAGACTTGACGTCTTGCATAGTTGTTCTTCCCACGGAAAATTATATGGTCATCAACAGACTTTGATTTTTGCAATTGCTTGTATGCAGCTTTCTTTATAAAATAGAATAAAATAAATGATAAATAATAATAATAAAATAAATAAAAGAAAATAAAATAAATTGACAATAAAATGAAGTAATGGCTTAAAAAGGCAAATAAATAGATGACTTAGTGAGGTAATCGATAAATAAGAACCAGTTGTGTGAATGATAAAGTTTTATTGAGTGTGTTTATGTTAGAGGTGTCTTGTGGTGAAGGTCTTTTCCTAATATGTTGATTGGATGGCGACTTGATAGTTATGCTTGCATTGACGAAGGTTGTGTGTTGTAGTTTTAATTGATGGTAGTAGAGGATGGATGACGTGGTTGTTGTTATTTTCTACTTTCTTGAACAAGTCTTGAATTGAGTGTGTTGAATATCTGAGTGGCGGTAGGTTATGATGCCGGTAGATAGTTAGGCGAATTACTTTTTTGATGAGAGATTGTAGTTGCTGAAGTTGTGGTTGTGTAGCAAAACCAGACCAGGAGGGAGCTACATATTTGATGTGTGAGATGATAATTGATTCGGTGATGTCGAATAATTTGATGCCTCTGAGATCATGTGAGTAGAGTTTTTTGAGTGCGTGAAATGTTTGTAAACCTTTTGTGATGATTGATTGATATGAGGTGCTGCAGTAAGTGTGGAAGTGAATGTGATGCCTAATATTTTTAATTGACTTGTGCGAGTGATGGGTGTCCTGGAGATAATGTTATTTTCTTACAGCTTTTGTGAATGATGAGTTCGAATGATTTATTGAGTTTAAGTGACAGATTGCATCGTTTTGACCATGTAGTTAGTGAGTCGAGTTCTGATTGGATGGTGTGTGAGTTAGATGATGGGATAATAAGGTAGGTGTCTTCAGCGTATTTGATGATTTGATCAGAGCTATGAACAGTTTTGAGAGTAGAAGCATTGATGATAAAAGTAGATGGTCCAAGGACAGAACCTTGAACTACGCTAGAATTTATAGGTAGAGTAGATGAAAGAGTAGAGCTAAATGTAGAATGACTCCTATTAGAAAGAAAATTCATTATAATATTGTAAATGTTGTCAAATAGAAAAAGAGAGGCTAACTTTTTTGAAAGTGAGAAGTGATTGAGAGTGTTAAAAGCTTTAGAAAAGTCGAGAACAATAAAATGAACATAATTATTATTTTTAAGGAAAGATGTTATTGTAGAAGTAAGAGAGACGATGGCGTATGTTGATGAACCTGTAGGACGAAATGCAAGCTGATCTTGTAATAGTGGTTTGATAGATGGATTGTTGAAACATAGATAGATGAATGACCTAACAATGAATTTTTCTACAATACGTGAAAGTATGGGGGTGATAGATATTGGGCGATAACCTATTGGTGTTGATGGGTGTTTTGTTTTAAGAAATGGATGCATTTTGCTAGATTTCCATTGTGATGGGATGAATAAATGCATCAAGCAGTGATTATAGAACGAACTTAAGATGCTGAAGATGAATGATTTGTAGAAACTATGCTGGTAGACTGACTGGGCCTGTACTGGATGGGCAGGCTTTCGTTAGCATGTGCAGGGCGGAGAGTGGTGTAAATTGTTGATGTTGATGACGACTATTGATTGTTGTTGCTTTTGTTGGTGGAGTTTTGTAGGACGAGTCGGTTGACATGGAAGCAAAGTTGGTGTTGAGTGTGAATGCCAATCCTTTATTGATGAGACACAAGAGTTAAGTCTATCGAGTTTCCAATCTCTTCTTTCATAAACATTTAATACTCTGAACTAAAATATCTAAGAAGTTTTCCCAAGAAGCTTTAGTTTTTAGTTGGATCAAAATGAAACAAAATCATCTCTGAATCATTTTTTGAATCATAATATTTTTATAAGCATTTTTTTTAATTTTTTAAAACAAATTTCTTCAATTACAGTAATTGATTAACAAATATTTAGAGCAGTAAGTTTTTTCTTTCTTGACATTTTGAAATAAATTTTTGATCAGTCCTTTTCTAAACCTAATCTGCCATTATGAGTATATTTTTTTTCCTAAGTAACGGTTTTTTAAAGTTTCACTAACTTGATGAAATCTTTCATCCAGCTTTAAATCTTTTAAATATTCGTAAATAATGCATTCTAATAATTTTACACCAAGCGGAAATGAAACTGTTGAGCGTCCGTTTAAAAGTAAAATATAGTTGTCAGATTTTTTATAATATTTTTTAACAATATAAAAATTATTTAACAACAAAAGCACTCGTTTGTAGTTTTATCTGTGGAAGAATTGACTACTGCAATGCGATTATGTTTGGTGTCAACTCATTCCTTCGTGATGATTTGCAGTCTGTTCTGAGCGCTGCAGCGAGACTTGTTGCTGGTTATTCGAAATTCGATTCAATTTCATCATACATCAAGGATGATTTACACTGGCTCCGCCTGCCAGAAAGAATCGTTTTCAAATTATCTCTTATAGTCAGAGATTGTCTTGCTGGTGACGCTCTAACTTATCGGAGGGAACAACTACAGTTAGTTTCAGAAATTGCAAATCGGAGTCGACTGAGATCCTGCGATAATGGTAATCTTCTACTTCCTAGATTTAATTTGTCTCGTTTCGAGAAGAGAAGATTTTCTGTTTCGTCTGCAAAAATCTGGAACTCACTAATTGTAAATTTGAAAAAATTCAACAACATGAGCCGACACGTTTTCAAGAAACGTTTGAAAAATCATTTGTTCGCTTCTGAAGTTATTCAATAGGGGCGCTCCACAAATCCTTAAATACAGATACAGATTCAACAACATGAGCCGACATGTTTTCAAAAAACGTTTGGAACATCATTTGTTCGCTTCTGAAGTTATTCAATGGGGGCGCTCCACAAATCCTTAGATATAGATAATAATAATAATAATTATTATTATTTTTTTATTAAAATTAAATTTTTCAAAAGAGCTGTCAAATGTTATCAAAAATTAAAAGCCGTAAATTATTTTTTATACTTTAATCTTCACTTTTGTTTGATCTAAAGACATGAATAAGTATTTTATCTGATGATTTGTATAACGCCTGTAATGAAGAACCTCAGATGTCTTTAATATCTATTAGAACTTGGCAATATTTATAGCTGGATCCCACAAATATTTAAAAAGACTATTTCAGACTCTAAAAGCAAAAGCTGTAAAATTTTTAGATCCAAGTTTTTTTGATCGATCGATCAATCTAATCAATCAATCAAACAAACAAACAAACAAACAAACAATTAATTAGTCAGTCAACCAACTAAGCAATCAATTAATTTTTTTCAGCGCTATTTCAGCAATGTTTAACGGCGCTCTTTAATAAATTTTGGCAACAGATTGATTTCAAAATCTGCTTTGAACTTCGTTAGCGATTGATAAGTAAGTAGCTGAACAAAGAGGAAAAATTTCCAAAAAAAGTACCAAAAAAGAATAAGAGTTTTTAACTGAGAATAAGAAAAAAAGAGAACATGAAGTCGATTTTAGATCGTTTAGGTTTAATTAAATTTTTGTACTCAGAAAATAATTTAGATTGAGCATTTTTATTAATACACATCGTCGATCGGGCTTTTTCAGCGCGCCAATATGATTGTTCCAACCATCCTCATCCTTTGTTATCTCAATTAGTTTTTAGCATCTTGACTTTTTTGTCCAAAATTAAACTCTTTGAAATAAATTTGGTCCAGGTAAGAGTAACGCAGTCTGCCTGTGCGGTATGATGTTTTGATTTCTAATTTATAGAGCGCATCCATGCTCACGGTCTCATTTTTTTGGCATTTGGTGGATGTGATCGATAAACGATAAAAAACATGAGCAACATAACGCGGCCAAGGTGAAAACTTTAGTTAAAAATTTAAAGCTGAATCAGGAAGATGATTATCAACTCTATATAAGGCTAATAAAATAAAAGTGTAGTGTAATGAATGATATATGACAACCATGGACTAATTAAGATATGATAATATTGTGTATGTATACTCTCAGGCTTAACCTGATATAAGCAAGTGTGTATGACGTTTTAGGGAATAATCATAATGATAGAAAAAAACATGTTAACGAATATTTTTTAAAAAATTTCTGAATAAAACGTTTTAATTATTTGAAGTTAATTTTGTAATAAAAAAAGTTGATGTAAAAATTTGTTTTTTAATAAATTGTAAAAGAACGATTTCAGAAATATATAAATTTAAGTTCAAGACACAACAAATTGGCGACGAGGATTAAAATTAATGAAAATTTGAACATTAAAACGTTTTGATTATCAAATAATATTGTTTCGGATTACGAATATTATAATTATTTTTTGTAATAGTAAAATATCAAGCTTTAATCTAGAATTAAAAACTTTGGACAGGCTTATCAAACGACTCCAAAATTATTTTCTAATAAAAAACATTCTTGATGATAAACTACTCAAGAAAAGCGTAAGGCATTGCTAAGACAAAATAATGGGGCAAAAATTGGCCAACCAATATTGGACGAAACCAGGAAGAGCTGCCGATAATCACACTTTCAATGAAATTTTAGCTACAAAAATTTAGGAGCGATTCCGATTTAGCCAGCAAAAACAAAAAGTCGACGAGACACCAACTCAATATATGGCAACATTGAGACACTTGGCTTTGACTAGTGATTTCGCTGCCGATGCTGCGTACCGGAAAATCGATGACCGCGGAACCAATTTATTTTTGGCTTGGCCAGCCAAGATATTCAAGCCGATCTGCTTACTCGTCTAGATTTAGACATAGAAAATGTAGTCACCTTTTCGGAATGATATGCTAGAGTTCGCAAAACAGCAGAATTGCTTCAAGGCAAAGAGGTAGTCAACTCAATGAAGCAAGAAAGTGAGAGACGAGAAAAGTAAATAAACTTAGTACCAACGGATAGAAAACAGACCGACAACAAACAAAAATGCAAACACAACGGATTTACTCATGAATGAATTTGTACATTCAAGAATGTAAAATGCTACAACTGTTAGTTTATTGGTCCCACGGCGAGGGTTTGTAAAAAAAAATACATCCATGAGAGATTAAAAAAAGAAAAATTGGACTAGGCCTAAGGCAATAGAAGAGTGTGCTGAAGATGTAGATGATGAAGATTGCAGTCAAGATGAAAGCAGCTATAACCAAATATCTAACATGGATAATTTAGAAAACAACTTTTTAAAAAAAGTTACATTGATAATGAGATTGATGGGGCATAGTAGCTTTCCAAATATATGCAGGTACATTGGAGACGATCGTCAGCCACAAATTTACCTATGAAACTGAATTTACCCGCTTTGAAACCAGCGAAGAAACAGTTCAAATAATATAGCAGACATAAGCTACTGTGGTGATCAAAAAAGGAATAAATTCTGCAATCAACTGTACAACGTTGTTAAAAGAGATTGTACGTACATCTTTAGTTGGTGTGCGGCGATGGATTAAGACTCCCAGCAAATGTGAAGAAAGGAGAGTAGTTGTAACATCAACTGCAAAGAAAGAAAAGATATGGATACCCAAAACCGATGCTACGAAGACCATTGTTAACGACAGAGCCAATGTTGTGATGAATTCGCAGAAGATGGATGAATCCGCCAACAAAAAAGAAAAGAAATTGAAGAAACTGCTTCAAGAAAACGCAAAGATTTTCAATGAGAACTTAGGTCGCATCAGAGGTGTTAAAGACAGCATCACGCTGAACGAAATACCAATTAAGAATTTCTGACAGCCGTGACCTGACCTGTCCCATTTGCTATTGAGAAGACAGTCGACCTTGAATTAGAACGAATGGAAAAAGAGGAATCACGTGTTCCTAGATATATCAGCAAATATGCATCACCTATTATCATTGCCGCGCGAAGGTAGAAACAAAAGCAGTTCGACTGTGTGCAGATGCTAAAGTTTCCGTCAACAAAGCATTAATCATAGAGCTATGTACGTTGCCAAGAGTTAAAGAACTTTTTCCCAAATGGGAGACTCTAGATATTTTTCAACTTTAGATCTGGCCGATGCCTACCATCAAATTTGACTTGATCATAAAGGCACAGGATTACCTGGTGATTAACACGAAGAAAGGATTGTATAGATACAAACGCCTACCATTTGGAATGTCATCAGTCACTACACAGTTTTCAAAACTGGCCATTCACAAATACAATTGATGATGGGAAGAAGTCTGCTATTGCCTTTAGATGCTATGTGATTTACACTCGAGGAAAATGAAAGGAAAGCAACTGCTTGGAGTGGTATTCGAAAATTTTACCCTGGATATAGCGTTCGGATAAGAAAATTTTCACTGAATAAAACAACTTGGGTGCTGGCAATTATTCTACAAATTTGGCAAACTTAGCTTACATGGTGCAAGGTAGAAAAGCATGGAAACACCACGTGGATCATCTGTTGAGTCGGAACAAAGATTGCTAAACTCAACAGTAAAAGAAACTAATCATACCTAATAATCATAAACTAATCATATCATACAATACAACCCTGCGGCACGATGGTGTAATGGTTATGGTGCCTGGCATTGTTGATGCAGTGTCCGGGTTCGATTGTAAAGAGATACCCGCATATCATATGCAAAAGTATTTACTCGCTGTGTTTGTTGTAATTACCTGTGAGGAATATCTAAGAAAAAATAATAATTATAACCTATAAAAACAAACGGGTCAGCTCAGCCGGGCAAATCAACAACAACCTGAAGTCATGGAACAACAATCATTAATGGTCAAGGGCCCAATTGACAAGTCAACGTCAAGACGCTCAATTTGAGATACTATAGGAATTCCACCCCGACGGTATGGTATAAATAGCTGAAGGTTGAGTTTTGAATTAAGGAGGAAGTGATTTACTGTATTCAATGATATATGACAACCGCGGACTAATTAACGAATGATAATATTGTGTATGTATACGCTCAGGCTAAACATGATATAAGCAAGTTTGTACGACGTTTTTGGAAATAATGATAAAAGAAAACATGTTAATGAATATTTTGGATTGAATTCGTTTTCTTAGTAAAACGTTTTAATTATTTGAAGTTAATTTTGTAATAAAAGGAAGATTATATAAACATTTGTTGTTCAATAAATTGTGAAACAACGATTTCAGAAATATAGACACACCAAAAAGTAAAAAAATAGGATTATTAAAGAAAAGCATTAGTTAGATAAAAATTAGAATTTATTGCAAAATTATTAATATGAAAAAAATTAATCAAAAATGAAATATAAACTACGAAAATTACTGGAAGGACGTTAATGAGAAAAATAGTAATAGTTTTTAAACTTATCAAATAAAACATATTAGTTTAAACTTAAAAAAAATTAGTTTAAGATACTTCTTCTTTCTCGTGCCTTATCCTTTCAAAACATTGGCGACCATCGTCCTCCACAAACCCCATCTATAACTCTTTGTAGTTGAAATGTTGTGACATTCAACAATTGACAAAAAAACTTCACAAATGTAATTCATTTTTGACTGCGTTCTCTTCTTACTGCATTCTTTCAGGTAGTTGTTAGATTTTTCATTTCTTCTTTTCGTATGGTGTGACAAAAATACTTTAACTGCCTCCGTCGGACTATTTGTAGTAATTTATTCTTTTCATAACCGGACTGTTTTAATCAATGCTCATTGGTGGTCAAACTAATTTTCGTAATTCTTCTCAAAAACCAAATCGCAGTGGCATTAATCCTTTTTTCTATTTCTTTAGAAATTATCCAGGACCCAGATCCGTAAGTCAGCACATAAAAAATGTAACACTCTAACAGTTTTTAATTTTTTTGATATTCTGATTTTACTGTTAGTGAGGACGATTTTCATTTTAAAATCTTTGGCCATAGTTATCCTTCGTGTGATATCCACATCACATTTACAACCTGAGGTTATCAGACTTTCAAGATAATTGAAGCTGTCGACTTGTTTCACTTGTTTACCATTAATGATTATGGACAGATCGGCGTTGTTTTGCTTTTATTGATACGATAACGATACACTCTGTTTTTTATGTTTATTTGCAAGCCTTTTTTCACTTTCAAAAACCGGTTTGGAGAGAATTGTTTGCAATTTTTCCATTTATTTCGCTATAAGAGCTGTATCATCAGCATATCTTACATTGTTTATAATCACGCTTATTGTTTATATTCACGCCTCTTAAGGTACATGAAATTACTTTAAATGATAAATAAAGAAAAGACAGATAAATTATAAAAAAATATATTAAGATTAACTTAAAAAGATGTGCTGATATAACAGTCATTGAGAGGACATGATCAATACAAGACATTCAAAATAGGAAAACTTAAAAGAAATTAATCAAGAAGGAAAAGAAAAAGAAGAGTCTTTACTTCAGGGTCTAGAAAACTCTTGAAAATCTTCTTATATCAAGATTGAGAAATGGAGAATTTGAATCATGGCACCGTTTCAGTAGAAGGAATGAAATTAAGAAAAAAAAGTTTTTATTAACGATTTTTAATTAATAGAATTTATATTAATGTTGAATGGTAAGAATATTACAGAATAGATAGAAATTGTTTTTTATTAGTATTTATGAAATTATTGGAGGTTTCGACTTAATATGCTTACTACTAAGATTTAAGTAGAGTATTCGCCGCCTGACTACTCTCATCGGAATTGAAAAAGTGTTAAATAAACAAATGAAAATCTCTAGAATATGACATAATGTTTATATTTAGAAAAAACTGAGGCAAAACTTTACATTAGTGCCTTAAAGCAAAGGAAAATCGAGATAATAAGTAAAAGTGAGAATAGGTTAAATCAATCAATCAATCAATCAATTAGCTTATAAAGCGCTATTTCGGGGATGTTCAACAGCGCTCCTCAATGAATTTTGAAAACAGATAGGTCTTGAGATCGCTCTGAACTTCGCAAGTGATGGAGAAGTAGTCAGAGAAGTAGGTAGAGTTCCAGAGAAAAGGACCAGAAAAAGAAAAAGCAGATTTGGCAAAAGAGTGTTTAACACGAGTTAAGAAAAAGCGAGAAGAAGAAGACGATCGTAAACCGGGGCATTTAGGTTCAATTAATATATCTGATAAATACTTAGGAAATAATTTAGATAGAGGCTTATACATGAACGTGCAAATTTTAAAAATTATTCTATATTTTATAGGTAGCCAGTGCAAGAGAAGAAGATATGGAGATATATGAGAAAAGAAAGGGGCACGAGCAACTAGACGAGCAGCAGAGTCAAAAGCTTTACTTAAAGGATAGAGTATAGAGTCAGGAAGACCATAGTAGAGCGAGTTACAATAATCAATCCTAGATAAGACTAACGAAGTAACAAGAAGGAGAAGAGTAGGATCATCAAGAAAAGGCAAAAGTTTTTCTAATCTACGTAGATGAAAGTAAGAGCTTCTAGCAACACTATTAATCTGAGAAGAGAGAGACATAGTAGAATCAAAGATAAAACCTAGACTACGAAACTTATGAGAGACATCAAGAGTTTTAGAATCAGGTAAGATAATTGGAGGAATAGTAATAGAGTGTTTAGATTTATTAAAACAAATTAATTCAAAATTAGAAGGATTAAGTTTAAGACACATAGAGTCAGACCAAGCAATAATTGAAGAAAGACATAGAGATAAATTATGAAGAACACTATTGAGATTAGATGGAAGAAAAGAAGTATAAATGTAAGAATCATCAGCATATAGTTGACTAGAGAAAGAAAAGTTATTAATAATACGAGGTAGTTCAGAAGTATAGAGTATAAATAGAAGAGGGCTAAGGATAGAACCCTGAGGTACCCCGAAAGTAAGAGTAGAGGAGTTAGAAGTAGAATTATTGAGAACAACAGAAGAAAAACGATTACAGAGATAAGAAGAAAACCAAGATAGACAAGAATCAGTAATATTAAAAGAATGATGCAGCTGTCTCAAGAAAATAGTATGGTCAACAGTATCAAAAGCCGAGGAAAGGTCAAGAGCAAGAAGAAGAGTAAGATTACTATTGTCACTAGAGAGAAGGATATCATTGTGTATTTTGAGTAAAGAAGTTTCAGTACTGTGAGCAGGTCTGAAAATATGTCTAAAAGTAAATTATTATTATGACTGTTAATAGTTACAATTATAAAAATGTTTATGATTTAAAGTGAAATACTGAAAATAATTGTTGAAAATAAGAAATTAAAACTATTTAATAACTTTGTAGGGTTAAAATCGTAATTTTGGTATGCTTTCAAAGAGAAAGTTTTTGCATTGTAGCATGGATGTAATTTAACTGAATTTTATTATATATATCCATGCATTGTAGGCATTTAAGTAAACTTACGTGCTTGCATGGTTGTGTGTGGTTAACATTAAAATAAACTTCCATGCATTTATTTGCACAAATTTTAACATATAAAACTGAACATGTAGGCGTTAAAGTAAATTTTCATGTCTTTAGTTGCACTCATTTAAGCATGTATATTAAGACTGTTTATTATTAGAATTATAAAAATATTTATGTTTTAAAGTGAAATACTGAAAATAAGTTTTAAAAATAATAACTGCCGTCAATTTTATTTAATAACACTGTATGGTTGAAATTGCAATTTCGGTATGGTTTTAAAGAGAAGTTCATATACATTGTAGGCATTAAAGTAAACGCATATTCTTGCATGCTTTTGTACTGTAGGCATTGAAATAAACTTCCATGCAGTTATTTGAAAGTGTTTTAGCATGTAAATTAACTAGTAGGTATTGAAACAAAGTTCCATGCATTTTTTGCAAGCATTTTAAAACGCAATCCTCCACGTAGGCATTAAAGTATACTTCCATGCATGGATACGAGTAGGCCCTGAAATTAACTGACGAATTTGAATAAAAGCGTTTACATAGTAGTTTATTATTTTATTAAAGGCTTCTACGATGTTTAAAATTGTATTTTTTCGAGCAATGCTTAGCAAGCAAACTTCGTTCAGAAGGGTGGCCTTTAAAAGGGCCGTTAAGTTGTCAAAGGGGTGGCTTTAAAAGGGCCGTTTAGTTGTCAAAAAGGTGACATCTAAAAAGACCGTTTAGTTGTCGTCATCATCGTCACCGTCATCACCATCATCTTTATCAACAAATGTTTACTTTAACCCTGATGTGGAAAATAATATTTCCAAACGGCATCTAGCTATACCGTTCACGCTAAACAAATTCTGCCAAGTGAGTTCTGTATTTCATCTTTCTTTTTAATCTGGCCTACATTGATTCTAAATTTTGCGAGTGAGCCAATGGATTCTTCTGGTTAACAAAATTTAGAGAATGATTGACGGTCCAATGAATGTAGGCGCGCCATTCGTCGGAAACTATGGTTGTTAATGGTAATAGCGTTTGTGTATCCCGGGCCTGAACCTCATCCGGAAAGCAATGTCTAGTACCTCGTTGTATGCTGCCAAAAATTCACTCACTCTAGAATTTACGTTTCTTCCTTTTTCATACTTAGCCTTAACAATTTTTGATTCGTCAAATTCAACAATTGCTCCTGGGTCACCTATAGGTACAACTTGATCTATGCATTTGTAAATACAAATGTCACGGCAGAAGTTGTACTAATCAATAAGAGACTTTGTGCTCAGCTGCAATTCACGACATGCTGTTTTGACCGGTGTGCTCCAGGCCCAATAGTAAATTAAACGAACCAGCAGGCTAAGTCACTTCTTTCAAAGAAGGAATCTTTCCGAATGGTGATTCATTTTTGACAGCTTCGAACAGGACAGCGCCAAATTACGCCATCGATTGATCATCGGTTGATGAGCAATTCCAGCTATATCACCGGCGTAATTGTCACAATTCATTTCTTGATACAACAGCCCATTCAGCCTGAGCCATTGCCTTGTCTCCCGTTCGTTCTTAATGACCATATCCGCGACCGTCAACGCATTAACCCTGCCCACTTGATTCATAATTGGAAAAGAAATAAACAAACCTGAGGATAAGCGCCAAATCAAATGACTCGGAAGTCGAAATATAGATCTTTGGATGACGAAAATTCGAATATTTTGAAAATTACATTTTTTTCGATAAAATTATTTTGGTTGCTATATTTTTAAAAACATTTTTTTAGAAATTGTTATAATTTGAATTTAAATTTTACAATTTTATTATGTAATCAATTTTAAATAAGCCAATCAATTTTGAAAAGTTATATCCTAACATTACATTTTTGAAATAAAAAAATTCTTATTCATTTTATATATTTATCTAAAACAATAATTAATAAAAAAAGGTTAAAAACATGAAGAACAATTTGTTTATTTAGCGTTATTAATATAAATTCACTCTAATTCATTTATTTAGCGTCATTAACATAAATTCATTTTTACACCTATTTCCGTAGCATTCAATACCCTCCATTTACATCACTGTCGATTTTTTGTTTGCATTGAGGCACTAATGTAAAGTTTTGCCAAAACTAAGTTTAGTAATAAAAGGTTGAAAATTAATTTGTTCAGAAACAAAAAAAACAACCACTGAGAGAAAAATACAACTATAAACGTGAAGTTACCATCACGATAAACCATATAAATAGATTAGATATAATGGGCAAATTGATTCCTAATAATCATGGCGTCGTTAGAGGCATGGGGAATGAACAGCCGAGAGAAATGAATATAATCGGATAATATAAAACTTTTTTTTATGTGAAAGTAAAATTTTAGAAAATTTGGTTTTTATTTTTCAACTAAATGCATATTGAAATTCGAAGTAAAAAGTACTATTTTAACAAACAAAAAAATTAAATTAAAAAAAGATGCACTTTTAAAAAGTCTTACAAAGTTCTTTGCGGTAAAAATCTCGCTAAAATAAACAATACAATTTTTTTAAATCATTTTTATTTAATTAAATTTTTATTGCTTATTGTTTATAAACATATTGTTAATGCTTTGAAAAAAAAAACATTGAGCATAACCATTAATTTTATTTTGTTTAAAATGGAAAATTAACCTCAACAATTTAAAAAAAATTAATATAAATATTAAATTCCATGGGCGAGTCACTGACTTTAAAATTATGAATTTAACTACTACATTGCCAGACCAATGGTAATGAAATGTTTATTTGTTTGTTGCCAATTTCCGGCGTTTCAGCACAAATGGGCTATCTTCACGCCTATTACTTTCCTGATTTTATACCTGGGTATTGTTGATTTCGTTTAGTTTTAAATTTCGTAAATAAGATTTAAATCTGTCAAGTATTGTGTTTTGAATGCTAATTGGATCTTTAAATATTTGTTGCATGTTGGTCGGAGTGTTGTGAATTCTTCTCTTTAATTAGCATTTTTGACATTCTGTGATAATGAGATGAATGGTCAGTCTTGTACCACAAGTATCGCAACATGAAGGTGAAGATCTTGTGTAAATCCAAGATTGAGATAATTTGCTCTGGCCTATTTTGATCCTGTTTAACATCGTTTGGTATCTTCTTTCTGAATGCAATACATTTGGATTCGGACTATTTACTTTAGGGTTTGAACTTTCTAAAAAGTTATTGATTTCATTTTTGTTGCATCAAGGATACGATATATTGATGTGTGATGGGTTTTATATCGGACATTGGTATTGGAATGTTTGATATTGGAAGAGAGTGTGCCAGGCTGGCAGCCTGGTCCGCTTTTTCGTTGCTCAAAATTCCGATGTGGCTTGGACTCCAAACTAATTTTATTGAATTATTTTTTACCATTATGTTGTGAATTTTGTTTTTAATCATTGTTACTAGGAGGTTTCTATTTCTATCCGAATTTATTGCCGTGAAGCTGGATAAAGAGTCTGTGACAATTAGAAATTGGTTTGTTTTGGAGTTTTTTACGTGATCCAGTGCCATGTTAATTGCTATCAGTTCAGCTGTAAAGGTCCATGCGTATAGTGGGAGTCTATGGAGTAGGGTTTGTTTGAAACTAGAAATGACAGCTGCTGCTGATGTTGATCCTTTTTGTCTCGACCCATCGGTATATATTATAATGTGATTTGGATGTTTTTCTAATATTTCGTAGAAGCTCATTTCACTTGAGCTTTTATTATATTTTGTAATTGATGTGTCTAATTTGGAGTTTTAATGTTCCATGGCGAAGCTTCCGGTGATATTTCTTGAATGATTTTTGTATTATTTAGATTTTTTATGTTCCACTACTCTATCACTTAAGATGGGTAAGGCTTTTGATTTTTTTTCTCTTTTGTAATTATGGAAATGAATTTGTGAGCTGGATTGCTGCTTTTGTGATTGAACTTTTCACATAAAAATTCATTGTTAACTTGAGATGTCTGAGTTGTCTTGGAATTTCAGATGCGAGAGAATTTGTATATTTGAATACATTTATCTTTTATGGTTATGGTTAAATCATCCATATATAGGCATGTCAATTCATTCTCTGGGATAATGGTGGTGATCGTGTTGATATTCAGGCAAAAAAGTATGGGTGATAGGATGCTTCCTTGTGGTATACCCATATCTAGATTTTTTACACTTGATAGCACATCATTTATTCTCACCTGGAATGTGCGATTTGATATGAAATCTTGATTGAATTTGGGAAGGCGTCTTCAGAGACCCACTTTATAGAGGTTTTCCATTATCCCGTATTGCCATGTTGTATCGTACGCCTTATCTACGTCAAAAAATATTGTTATAGTTTGTTCATTACTGGCTAGACTACTTCTTATGAAAGACTCTAATGATACAATATGGTCTATAGTAGATATTCTTTTTCTTCCTCCAGATTGTTTTTCAGATATTATGTCATTTTTATTAAGGTACCATATTAATCTTTTATTCACTATTTTTTGAAAGATTTTGCTAACGCAGCTAGTTAATGATATTGGGCGATAATTATCTGGATTTTCTATTGATTTACCAGGCTTATGGAAAGGGAGAATGGTGGCATGGTGCCATGACTGTGGAGTGGGTCCAGATTTTATTGAAGGTCTTTAACAGGTTTTCAGTTGCAATGGTCGGGATATGTTTTAGTATTTCTTAAGTGATTTGATCTTCACCTGGGGCGGAATTTGTGCTATTTTCTATTTCGTCTTTAATTTTTTTCAAAATGATTATTTGGTTATATTATTCATTATTAGTGGACTCAAAATTTAAGAAAATTTTTTCTTTTCTTATTTTATGTTTTATGAAGGTTTTGTTATGATTGGTTATTAGGGATTTGTTTTGGAAATGAATTGCTAGTGTGTTGGCTATTTCCTCATCTGTTTCCTGAGTTTTGTTTTGAAGTTGTAGATGGCTTGTTCGACTTTCAGTGTCTTTGATTCTCCTGACCATGCCCCAGATTTTTTTTTTTGGAGTAGTAATTTTCATAATGTCAACGTATTTTTTCCCAGCAGAGTTTTTTCTCTTGTCTTATTGTTCTTCGTGCTATAGCTTTTGCTTTTTTGTATTCTATTAAATTATTAACTGTTGGGTTTTTTCTTGAATGTTTTAAGGTGGTCCAATTTAATTTTAATAAATTTTTTTCAGTTTTTATTGAATTATGGATTTAGGATTTTATTATTACTAATTTTTAATTCTGGTGTTGACTGTTCGACTGACGTTCTTATTATTTGGGTCCAGTTTTCCAACGAAGCATCTTTCATGTCACTCCGCTGTAAGAATTGATGTCAGCAAAACTCCCTGAATTTTATCCAATCAGTTTTTTATAATTTAATTTACCTTTATTTGTTGTTTATGTTAGTGATTTCAATGATTATTGGATAGTGGTCATCGTGTAAATCTTGCATAACCTCCCAAGAGACGTCTTCTTGTATGCTATGAGATACCAATGTCAAATCCAACGTGGAAGAGGAACACGAGGAATCATTAAAATATGTGGGACCATGTCAATTAATTTGGTTACTTTCCCAAAGGTAATTACGGTCGTTAAAATCCCCTACCAAGATCAGGGGTCTAGGAAGATCTTCAATTGCTTCCAGTATTAATTTCGCCAGAAATAATGAATTTGGGGGGCTATACATGTTGCAAATTGTGAGAGTTTTATTTGTTGTGATTTTCACTACTGTTAAATTAAAGTTTTATTTTATTTTAATGAGTATGAAGATTGTGGTTCCGTGTGGGGTTAGATTGAGACGGGATAGACGGTATTGAGTAGCGAACAAAGTTTTTGATATTCAATTCTTTATTTGGATTTATTTTAGTTTCTTGTAGGCAAATGATGTGTGGGTGGAGCCCACTGATCAGGATCTGAAGTTCTGGAAAGTTGCTTTGTAGACCTTTCATGTTCTATTGCAGAATTTTAATATTTTCTTTTATTTTATTATTTTTATTTATATTTTGATTCTTGATGTTATTCATAATGTTTGGAAAGAATTTCATTAATCATTATTCTGGTCAAATTATTGCAAGCTTCCCCTGTCTCATCCATGGTAACAAAGATTTTGTCTGAAAGCCGATGTTCTGGTTGTGATGTATTTTTATTGTATAGATTTGATTGAAAATTGTCTTGTTGGGTTTTACTTTTATTGTTTAAATTTATAAGTGACTCTGCTTGAATTAGGTACCCTTGTCTATCCTCTGGTTGGTTTTTTGACTATATCTGCCAGAGTTGTTGTTTCCTTTTTATAATTAACTGCTCTGGAAAGGAGATTTTTGTTTTCAATTTTTAGTTTTATGATCTCTTTTTGTTCTCTGTAAATTTTACAGTTTTTGTCGTATGTTACATGGTTTTCTTTACAATGATAGCATTTGGCGACATTGTTACAAGGGTTTTCTTTTGTGTGGGTGTGACCCATTTCTCTACAGTTACTGCAGATTATTCTTTTGTTATTACAGATGTTTTTGTGGTGGCCATACAACTGGCATTTGGTGCACCTCATTAGATTTGGAATGTACTCTTTTGGTGTGTTATGAGTTTGAAATGTTATTATGTAAGTGTTTGTCTTTATTATATGCTCGTTTCTTTTAATTGTTATGTTTTTTACTTTGAAACTCCTTGGTCTTTTAGTTCTTGTTTGATTTCCTCTTCAAAGCAGTTTATAGGATATTAGTTTTAATGACACTTTTTGAGAAGTTAAGAGATTTGCGTGGTGAGCATTTGATTTTTTCTGTATAAATTTTATTCAAGCTCATTAGTTTTTCTCCTTGTTTTGCATTTTTGACTTGAATTATGATGTTGTTTTCACCTATTTTTATATTTTCCATTTCGCTAATGGAAGAAAAGATTTTTTTGGATACGGAAAAATGAGAGTTTATGTAGAAATCTGGAAGGAATTTCTCTTTTCCTTTGTTTTTTCTTTTTCTTGGTGTTCTTTCTTGTAGGGTGGTTGTGGTTGGTCTAAAGATGCCATTCTGGCTCTTTTAACCATTTAGGAAGTCTAGGACACCAAGTGTTCTGTTTCAGGCTTTTCGCGTCTCTCCAAATTAATTCAATTTGTAAACAAAAAAACAGAAAAACTTAAAAGAAAAATATTTTAATAATTAACATCAAAATATATTTAAATTCCAAAACTTATTATCGCTACTAAACAGAAAATTAAAATTCTAATTTTTAAAGGCAAATTTTAGATTAAAATTAGTAGAAATTTTGACGAGATTCTTTTTAAACTTAAAAAGACAAATTGTAAACACGTAATGAAATGTGCTTTCAATAAATTTCAAACATTTGAACAATATTTGTATGTTGTATGCAAAATTTTTTCATTTACATTATTTGTGAAACAATGTATAGCATGTATGTATTAGATGATATGTCATAATTAACATATTTTTTCAATATCTAATACATTTGAACTAAAACTAAAATACAAGAGGTGTATATACGCAAGCTTAATAAGACTATTTACATATTCTTTTTAATAAAACATTAAAAATGTGATATGTTTGATATAAAGGTTAAATGTTACTCTCTCACTCTTTTGCATTAGCTTCAGAGGTTTCAACGACAAACACACACAGCGTATATGAATACGCGTGCAAACCACGCATCATACACATTGCATATGATAGGCGGGATCTCTTTGTATTTGAACCCAGTCATTGCATTACCATCTATTCAATTATTCCACCTAATTTATCAATAATTTCTTCATTTAACAGTTTCAATTTATCGAGTTCATTTACGATATATTTACATTTAATTTTATATCTTTGAATTTGTTGATAGGCCACATTAAATTTTCTTTTTACTTTTGTTGATGTTTTACTTTTCAATTCATACTTTGCAGCAAGTTTATTAGGCATTAAGTTGCACCTATAATCCTAAAATTATAATAAAATTGATTTAATAAATATGTTAGAAATACATTATAAAAAGCAAAAACTTACTAATGCTATTCTTTTCTGATGACTGAATAACGTATCATCGTCAAACTTTTGCTTTTTGGGAGTCACCATACTATTCTCCTATTTCAATGCAATTAATTATTTTTTAATAAAAATCATTAAATTTAATAATAATTTAAAAGTGCCTACCAATAATGATGAATGTTCACATTCAACTTCACTGGTTTTATATGATGTATCAATCTAAGAACCAAATATATAATATATTAAGATTAGGCTAATCTTGTGACAAAAAGACCAATATAATCATTTAACAATTATACTCTTCTAATAAATATGTTTAAATGTTATAAAAGATTTATATGAAATTATATAGATTCATTATAAAATAAATAGATATGTATATAATTATTGATTTCGGTGATAAATTTATACATAAAAGATAAAATAATAGTAGTAATTTTATAACATATATAACTAACTTTACTTACGTATTTTTAATGAAAGTTTCATCAAAGCATTCAAAACTGATGACGGCTTAATTATTAAATTTGAAATTTAAGTAAATATTATAAACATAGCATGTTCATTGAAAACATGTAATACTTCAAAACAATAAAATTTTTAAGGAAAAAATAGAATTCACTTAATTATACAATAAATACTCCAAGACAATCAATATGAACTATTAACGAGACGATAATGCCTTACGTTGTCACGTGACTCACCACTCAATTTTATCAACAGACTTGCTACGCAGGTTTTTTTGCTAAAAGTGAGCG